GCACACACGACCCGCAAAACGCGGATTTTTCGGAGTATCACCCCCAACCGCTCGGTTCATTAGCCGCCTTTCCCGGTCTCGATACGTTTCTTGCCCTCGCCGCGCGACCCTCCAGGTGTTTTCAGTGGACGACACGCGAGGACTGTCGAAATCGAGGGTCATCGGTCGCCGTTCGTACCCGCGGGTTTTAAATCTCGAGTGCAGTTCCGGGGTGACGAAATAGAAACAGTGCTCCGCCGCAGTTTGTGGAATAATACTATTCGGTGGTGTCTGTCATGGTGTGACGCGCGGCCCGATGTCCGGACCATCATTCGATTGTGAACGTGATCCCGGCGCGGATGTCCGATGACATTGTGGAAACGTCAGTGGACGGTTCAGTGGAGTTTCATTCATCAATGACTGTTGACAACCGGTGTGCCTTAATCGTGGATCGATGCTACACGCGGAGCAGATGATCAGCCGGACTAGAGACGTTCCTGGACAGTGGACTTAGCTACTTCAGTTTCTGAAGCACTCGTGCTCGTGCTGTCCCGTGACTGTAGCTACTCCTCGAGACGTTTCTCGGAGCATCAGCAATTGAACCTCGAGATCAAGTGTCGTATTGTACCCTGGGATAAAAAGCAGCGGAAGTGACCTAGGAGCCCATCAGAATTGGTTCTCGCCGAGGCGCCGACCAGCCAGCCGACGGGAGTCGGAGTCCCATCAGAGCTGAATCAGCCATCGACAAAGATGTTGACTTGAGGGAGCCGCGGTCAGCGCAGACACCGTCAGCTACCAGCTGGGATTCTAAGGGTTCGACGAGCGTAGCCATTAAAGGAAGAGACGGGGATTCGTCAAAGGGAGACGAGCCGGTCTCTTCAGGCGCGGACTATGCTATCGTGGATCAAGAGTCGTTCGCATTGTCGGGCACGGGGTGTCAGACAGGACGATCTTCCCTGATCCTAGAGGAGAAGGCAGCCAACCCCTTGGCGCAGCACTGGGCTTTAGCTAACCACGACAAGATGCCTGAGAAAGAGGTCGCCTATCATCAGGAAGCGTTCTCCTTGCTACCGCCGCCGCCACCCCCTCATCATCCCCATTCGGCGTTTCACGCGGCTTTCCACCCGCACCCGCATCCGCCGCCGCCACCGCCGTTTCATCCACATCACGGACCACCACCCCCGCCGCATCCGGCGGCCGCGGCTGCTGCCGCATGGGAGCATCACGCGGCTGCTGCCGCTGCGGCCGCCGCCGCTGCCTTCCACGCACCGCCGCCTCATCCGTAAGTCTGATTTTATTCGCACGATATGCGCCAGGCAACAGCGGTTACGCGAGTTTGCTTGGTTGTTGACTGGGTAATTAATGGACTGCGAATGTGTATGAGGATGTGCAGTTTGGGGGTATGATTTGTTGGAAAGAAAATGGAGTACGATTCGCTATATCGGGGGTTGTTTGCGTTCTACCAATGATACATCGTTTTACGTTAGATTGCGTTACGTTTTCTTAATGTTTAACGGAATTTTTGTTTTCCGTATTTGGAGATTTGACGAAGTTGTAAATGCATAAACATTCGCAGTCTGATGATTAGTAATTTAGATTGTTGCATTGCTTAGGAGTATTTAGCAATGTCCAAGTGGATTTTCGGAGAACTGCTGTTTTAAATATTGAGAAATGAAATATTGTAGGTAAATGTAAAATGATGAAGTGAGGACTAGTAAAAGCGTTGAGAATGACAAAGGTTTACTTTCCTTAGAAGTAACGATAAGTTCCGCAAATGCTTAGGCGTTATTCTCGCTGTTAAAGCCAAAGTTTCTATTGTGCCAGTAGTTTCGTTACTACAATTGAATGATTTTCTAAGTGACAGTTTAATCAAGAATTAAATTCCACGGTTATGTTGGAATCAAATCTTGGGACACAACCCACGCAGAAAGCATTTATGTAGGCGGCTCGTACGCGGAACGTGAAACTAACGTACCGTGTAAAACAATTAGAGAATCGTGTTTCCGAATAAGTAAAGAGAACGAACTATATTGTGGCCGATCTAGAACAACTTCGATTCTTATACAATTGAAGTAATCTTCCTTACATTATATGCAACGATTGTCTGAACAATTCAACGTTTACACTTCTACCATCATACCTTTCTTACAATAATCAAGAAACTATCTACACTAGTAAACCCCAATGAAGGAGATAATTAAATAATCCTTCTAGTACTCTATTTACCTTCATAATTTATACTCTATTGTACTCACACCCGATGCAACATGCGCTAAACTATTTTCAGAATCTACGAAAGAAATTCAGTCACTAATTAAATCATTCACACCGATCCACGACTAATAATACTTACAATAACTTCACACGAAACCTACCTCGATTTTCAACGAAACGTCCAGCATTAACATCAACCAATAAACCCTTCGCGCAGTCAACGAAATCAAGATCCCATGCGTTCCTTCTGAATTCAATACCCTAAAAGAATACACCGACAATCACGCTAAACGATCACAACCGGATCTTCGTACGATATTCCGTTTCACCCTCTACTGCGGGTTCCACAGGCGCGAACAGATAATCGCGCAACAATCTAGTAAAACCCCGGCAAAGTCCCCCGTAATGGCTGCACGCGAACGCGATGTACGTAATGCCGTTCGCCGGCTCTCGTTGCTTAACGCGGTGTTTAATTCAATTACACATCCGCCGCAACTTTTAACCCGAATCGGCGATTCCCGGTCGACGCGGCGCGACGCGGCGCTGCGCGCGAACGTGCGTCGAATGAAAGTTAACGAGGCAAAACTTAATGGTAATCGGCAACGAGGATTTCGCATTCGCCGCGGCGTTACCCCCTTAATCATCACCTTCGGCCGCGGCGCTTATCTATTAACACATCGGCTTGATTCATGTGCCTTAATTGCTCGTAATGAAACCGGCCGAGGCCGTACGAAACCTTTCGCGGAATATCGCGATGGTACTTACTCACGGCGTGCCGTGGCACTCGGTTGCCCACGAAAATCGCGTTGCGTTTTCCGCTCTCTCAGGGAGTCGGCGAGCGGATCTTGTCGGCGAAGAGGTGGAAGGGTCGGCGGAGACGGGGGACCCGGTCGATTCCCGGTGGTGAGAAGCTCGCCGGTCTCGACGCCGGAGAAAGGGGCCTTAACGTCTTAATCGAGTTAATTAAGGCTCCTTCGCACGTTTTCACGTTCCGCAAACACGACACGCTGTTGCACGCAAGGAGATTACCTCGACGACTCGACCGGTGATAGGCTAACGGGCGCGCGGAAACGCTCGGCCGACGAGCGACGCCGGGGATAATTAGACGTTTCTAAACGCCGTTCTTAACCCGGCGAGTCGCCGATGAAAGGAAAATACGGTGAAACGTCGATTAACCGTGTCGCCGTTTTCCGCGAGTCGGATTGTAGAATTTTGGTTGAGTTGCAAGTCGATGAAGTCGAATTCTTGGATTGGATATCGGAATATGTATTTTGTGTATGTCTTTTGCAAGTTCCTTCTTGAATATTTATTTACGTGGAATGTTAGTTGCTTGACTGAATGGGATTCGAAGTTCTAGTGCACTTGAATGGTCGGTTAGATGAGAACTTTGAGTTTCAGTGTCTTGGAATTGACGATGTTTTTATACGAATATTTTGTAGCTTGGAAGGAGGATTGTTGAAAGTGGTTATTTGTTCGTTGAACTTAAAAATGTGTTTGTGCGGGAAATTTAAGACTCTCTTTGTGGCAGTTGCTTAGTAGATTTTGTTCAATTTAAGATATTGATTATAATGCTTTAATAGAATGATGTAGTTATGAAAAGACAATAGTTTTGTTGTTAACAATGTAATTCAGTTTTCAATATTTTCTTAATTTAATGTCGACGACCCTTCTGCGTAACACGCCACAGTCAATCGAACAAATCGAAATACTGCAAGATCGTTGTTACATGTAATCGGCGACCGACGTTCATCGACCTTGCATCCACATACATTGAGTTTAACGAACCAATGATGTTCGGCTTGAAAGTAGAATTGGTATGGAATACGCTTGATTGAATCAATGCAGAAATACAAAGAAAATCGCAGTGAAGAAAATTATTAATAGCTTGGAGATGTAAAAAGTTTGGATATCTCTTTCTTAATAGTTCCCTATTTTCCGTGACACTTTCAATTAGAATAGATCTATTTATACGAATGGAAAAAAACACTAATTAAAACTGTCTTGGCATTGATAATAATGATAATTCAATATACGAATTGATATCTTCATCAAAATTTGTATAGACATTAAAACAACAGAGAATTATTACGCTTCATCGACTGTTCTGTTTGATAACGTCATTACACAAGTCGATTGAAAACCATGAGTCTAATTATATCAACAATTATCCCGATTATTCTTGATCAGTCAAAACACGCGTTTCGGTATAGCGCGAAAGCGGACCGTGTCGCATAACTTGGGGTGACTTTACGAGTTCTACAAGCATTCTGCCGCTGTAAAACCGCGCCCCTCTCGTAAACACGGCTGGCTGATGAATTAGACTCCTTCTCCACCAATTTCCTCTGGCCGGCGCAACCGTTCCAGTGATATTTCTCTCGATCGTTGCTCCTTTTCTATTTCTCGCGTCGGCTTAATAACCTATCGCTGTATCCGCAGACTCGACGCGAAGGATTTAGCGGCTCGCGTGCGCGTTTACAACCCCTTTCGAAGTATTATTTGCAGCTTCTGCCGTTTCGCAACGATTCCGCTGCTTCCGGAGACTATAAAACCACGGAAGATCGTTTGGATTTTTCATAATGATAAAGTTATCGAACTCAGGAGAAGCTATTCATATAGAACACGTCATTGATGCAATATTGACGAAAGACAGCGTTGAGCTTTATTAACTTATTCAAATATGAAAGTATCATTTACTTTCTTCGCATAAACGAGAAACTTTTGTTACGAGGAATCTAATGGTATCGATTTTATTTTGGCCATTAGATAGGAATAAGTTGAACACTTGACTTAACATTTTTAAATAATATGTATATGAAAAACTTATACGTTAAGGGGTTAAGAACGATCAAATCAGTGGCATTTCATGGACGATTCGAAGGGGTGGTAACGATCCAACTCATCGACGTAATTAAACTCTTAATTGGACCGGTGCTGGCCCAGACGATTGGCCAATATCGAACACCTGCTTTTGCGCTCGGCTGTTCTTAATGTTGACAGAAATTATAAGCAGCTTCTGTATGCTCTTTTCTGTGCCACGGCTGCACTTTACGGAGCAATTAATTCCGGCGAATTGGAAAAGAAATGGTTTTGTAGGAAAATTGTATTCGTAAGTAATTAGACATATTGGTCTCTTCTATGTTATCTCGTAGGATGAAACGAAATTGCGGTATCAAATAATTTGTCGTTTCTTTGGGAGAAGTGATTGTTGGTGAATATTAAGAAAGGAGTATTTCGTTTCTTCTTTGGGTTACGTTAAAGATTTTCGATAAATGACATTCAATCCGTGGAAATAGAGAATTTTATGTTCGTATCTTGACGCTGTAGTCGAAGAAAATATTAAAAGATTAAAACCTTCTCTTTAATTCTCTTTTAGTTCTTCAACTTTAGACTGTTAATGTTAAATGTAACCTTGTCTGTGTCAGATTAAAGTGGAATGTTTTTAATCCCGTGAAATTATTCACAATTTACTATCTATGTTTATGACAAGCCGTCAGCTATATCGAATTCAAAAATTTCGGTAGCCTTAAAACATTAAAGTTTAAGCTGTAACGAAAATTGAAACCTTTCACAGAATGCCACTCCTTGTAAAATCGACATTTCAGTGAAACTCGTTTACTCAAGAATGGCTTCCACAAATCACTATAACGAATGTAGGATTTGAAACTACCCAACTGACTACTATCACTAACACTTTGCTATAAAAAGAATGACTTATCACGTTCAACTCGGTATAATCAAATCCGCTTGCTCTATAATAACGAGTGAGACACGTGGTAAAGATTTTTAGTCCAATGCAATAAAAATCAGTGTTTTCCATTGCATAAAGATAGGTGGAAATAAAAAACTTTTCCTTTTCCGGAAAGGAGAAAAATTAAAAAATTGTTTTCCTATTATCAGTATTTTCCATACAGCCATATTACCCTCATTTTTGTAGGAGCTCCAAAACTGACTCGCTCTCGTGATACATATAAAATTCAGTTAAACACTCATCCTTCTACTGTCACCTTCAGTCACAAGTAACCTCATTACTTCACCTACATTTGAAAAATGTCAAACAATTCACCTAAC